ATCGGTTCTTATTATGAAGCAAACAGGCTTTTAAATTTCGAACAAAAAATATTAGAATTTTAGAAAAGTACAACTTTTAATAATCAGCTGTCAAACGCTTATGTTATAAACGAGTTTTTTTGAGAATAAAGTCGGAAAATGTTAAAAAAATATCGAAAAAAAAAACCGTGGCTCGATTTGTTGTGTTGTCGGGTGTATTTCGAGAGGAAATCCTAGCTTGAGTTTATATCGGTTTTCCAATAAACAGTGTTAATCTGAATGAAGAAATAAATTGCATACAGTCTCTGTAAATATAAATTGTACCTATTAGATACAATAAATACCTACACATTTTAGTAGTGATTAACGTGGAAAGTGTAAACATTTCAATTCAGTAAAAATCATCAAACAAATAAGTTGTCTAAATTTAAACAGCATTTAGCATTATTCAAAGCGTTGATTAAGAAAGTCTCCACTCAACGGTAAAATACCATTATATTATGTATTATATATAATATTATGTTGCCATGAATTCGTAGGTATATTTTGTTGTTTAAAATGCAGTTGTCGGCGTTTTTTTAGAGAACTCAAACATAAAAATGGTTGATTTTAAGGTTATGTTTTTGCAAAAATTATTTTTTACTAATTTCTTAAAAATGTCCAAACTTAAATATAAATTATATTAGGTAAAGTTATCATTAGTTAATTCTGCACCAACAAATGTACCTACCGAATTGGATCCTTTGGCAAAACATGAAAATGCAACGATTTAGTTCTTGAATTTTATTTACAATTAAAAACACAATTCACCATGATCCCTTTGATAAAATACACACACTAACGTAACTATATAAGCATTTAAGCGTTGAGTTTCTTAATCAATGATATAAGGAATAATCAAGCGAAATCGAGTACTAAACCAGTTTTTTAGTTTTTTCCTTGCAACGTAAAACACAAATAACGTGCGCGATTTATAGACAGTGCAGAAGCCTTTAAAAATGGTAAAAAGAGAAAAAAAATAACAGGAATATAATAAAAATTAAAGGAAAAATAAATTACGGGCGATCTGAGTTCGGGAAGTGGGAGGGGGGGTTTAAGGGTAAAAAATGGTTTATCTCGATTTCCGGCAAAACTACAAGTCCTATGGAAAAAAGTTAAATGTCAAAGTTGTAGGTAATAAAAAGATCTACAACTTTTGTATTTACAATTTTTTCACATAACCTCAAAATTTATGTGAAAAATTCAAAAAAACAAGTTTTTGGTTTTTTATTTTTTATCTTTTTCAAAAAAAAATTTTTTTCTACGAAATTTAGTGAAAACTTACCTTTTTATGTCCCAAATACACTGTAATTTATTTGATTTGAAATATTTATTATTACGCCTTATTTTGACTTAATATCAAAAAGCACCCTAATTTTCAATCGAAAATTCTCTCGCGTCAAAATATCAGCTTTTTTCAAAAAGTCGGTGTGCTTTCTGTTCGATGAACTCTCTACTTTCTGATGGTGTAAAAAAATATACATTACTATGGTAAATGTTCTCAGAAAATACAAAAAATATTATAATGAATAACGTAATCAGAATGAAGTATCTAAATTCAATAGTATGATTTACATGTATTTTTATATTTTATGAGATTTTCTGACATAAATGTTATTAAAATTTAATAAATAAACTTTTTACCTAAAAAAAATTGAAACAATCACATTTTTTTGATGAAATTGTACATAATGATTAAAATAAATTTTCGAATTCGAGTTTTTTTCGTTACTCATTATAATATTTTTTGCATTTTCTGAGAACATTTACCATAGTAATGTATATTTTTTTTACACCATCAGAAAGTAGAGATTTCAACAAACATAAAGCACACCGACTTTTTGAAAAAACCTGATATTTTGACGCGAGAATTTTCGATTGAAAATTAGGGTGCTTTTTTGATATTAAGTCAAAATAAGGCGAAATAATAAATATTTCAAATCAAATAAATTACAGTGTATTTGGGACATAAAAAGGTAAGTTTTCACCAAATTTCGTGGAAAAAATTTTTTTTGAAAAAACTTGGTTTTTTGAATTTTTCACATAAATTTTGAGGTTATGTAAAAAAATTGTAATTACAAAAGTTGTAGATCCTTTTATTACCTACAACTTTGCCATTTAACTTTTTTCCATAGGACTTGTAGTTTTGCCGGAAATCGAGATAAACCATTTTTTACCCTTAAGTCCACTAGATGGCGCGCGCGATGCGAAAACTCGAAACTTCTTTAGCGTATAAACTAAAAACCAATATTTCTGACAAACGAGATGTATATTTGTGACAATGATTTTACAGCGCGTCATTCAAGCTCAAACCTAATAAAACTTTATATCTACACAACTATAACGTCGAAATTGATACCATAAATTTAAATTATTCCAAAGGCAATTTTAGATATGCTGATGGACATGCAAAATAAATAGCGTAAAACAATAGAAATTCGCCAGGAACTCATGAACTTGCCTGCTATAATGGCGCTATAACACTTTATTTTACTGCTTTATCAATTGAAATGCTGTTGTCGAACTGGCAACATTTTGTTTTCCTGCTTTCAAATGAAAATTATTGGTTGTAAAGGTAAGTTTTATTTCGAAAATACCACTTTATTTTAATAGTTAATTTTGAAAAAAAAATCAACAAACCTATGGGATGTTAACTAGATATAGCACTAGCTCAATAAAATAGTAAATTTATTTTATCTCCACGCGGTCTATAATTTAAACTTTATTGTAGTCAACATTTGATAAAGAAATACCTTGTTATGGCCTAGGCCGATAAAAAATTTTATGAGGCAAGTACTTAGTTCGATTTTTTCTCGCTAGGGGTATTGTTTTAACAAATTAATCCTTTTCTAAGAAATTAACGTACTAAAATGGTGTAATTTATTTATAATAAGCACTAATTTGTTTGTTAATATTTTTCATTAAATTATTGTAAAATTAAATGTGAATAATAAAACAAAAAAGTGAGGTTAGGCAACCAAGAAAACGCACGATTCTTTTTCTACGATTTAAATTATCTTTAATTTTAAATTTGCTTTAGGTTTTCAGTGAAATTAAATGTTAAACACAGCTTAAATATTCCAAACTATCTATTTTTTAAATAAAAATCCAAACAAATTAAAATTAGGTACCTACCTATTTATTAAACAATTAATTGAATTTAATGTAATAGCAGAAATCCATTTCTACTTAAATCATGTTGCTAGGTATTGTCAAACTATTACTGCTTCTAAAAGCAATAATAATTATTGTACATTTAATGTAATCTTTAGCTAATAAATAAATGAGATTCTAAAAAAGTAAGGTTAGGCCGCTTTGATGTTGAATTTAATTGACCTATATAAAGTGCTTTGAAGATAAAATGTTTTATGCCATTCGGCCAAGAAGTGAGCTTAGCACAAAAAGCCTTACTTCTTAACCTAATGACATAAATAACTATTACATCCAGTATAGTTTAATATCTTTAAGAACATAAGATACATTCGTAAACCTAATAACAAAAAGGTTGTAGGCTGTTTTTGATTAAAACGCATTTATAAAGGATTTAAAAATGAAAAAATATATTTGGAATAACAAATTTGATGTCACATCCGGTTAAATCGGATGGAAACACCCGTTTAAATAATGCCATTTTTGACTGAAAACGTGTTCTCAAATTTCAATCTAAAAAATCGCAGAAGAATGTGATGGGCCCAAAAGAAATAATTTTTATGTTATTTCAAACTCTTTTTATTTTTCTTTATTTTAAAAGTCAAATGAGCTGATTTTTCGTCGTCAAGGGAGCAGAGACAGGAAAAAATCCTTTCAGGAAAAATACGTTTTCAAATGTATTAAAGTAAAAAAATCTGTTGGCTATAAAATGTTAACAAACGTAATATATCCTGCTTGGTGAAAAATAGATCATCCCAGATTTAGAAATTTCGCAATATTGTCAACAGAAAAGTTATTGTGGGATATTTATCCAGATTAGGGTGGTTTCAAAATACGTCTAACGTTGGTACAAGTTATCTTTTTAGGGAAACCTGCCTCTTTGTCACCTATTTGCCTTTGCCTTTATTTACGACCCCGAATTAAATTCATTTCTATAAATAAATTCACAAAACAACCTCTATTAACGATTAAAAAAATAATCTCACTTTATTTTACTTTTGTAGTAGTAAAGTGACTTTGACTAACTACAACAGGGACAATGTTATTACGATTAATATTAAATACCACATACCACTACGAAATGGTACACTCTGTAAATTAAATTTACCACTACTAAAGGGTGGGCCATGTTTATGTTGAATTATAAAATAGCAATGAGAACAAGAAAAACTGATTTTTTTTCAACGAATTTTGCTTTATTTGATACAATGTTTCTTCCGATTAAGTATGGAAAATGATTTTATTTAAGTGGCCACCTCAGCTGGCTCCGCAGTAGCCCATCCTGGAACACCAATTTTCGAGCACTTTGTCAAAAGTTTGCTGCACTATTTAGGCAATTTGAGCTTGAATGTTTTGTTTTAAATGGTGAATAGGCTTTGTTACGGCGACGTGTGGATTTTCCGTGGCCCAAATCCTACAGTTTTGCTTGTTGACATAACCTCCGAGGTAAAAATGCGCCTTATCCGAAAAGATGATTTTTCTTGCAAAATTTGGGTCATCATTCAACTGGTTTAAAGCCCACTCAGCAAAGCGAAATCGTTGTGGATGGTCAACTTGCTTTAACTCCTGAACAAGCTGGACTTTGTACGCAAACATACCGAGGTCTTTGTGCAGAATCATCCTCAGAGTGGTACGGGAAAGGCCGAGTTGTTGACATCTGCGCCGAGTTGATGTTGACGCGTTCATGCGTACATTTTCGGCCACAGCAGCGATTGCTTCAGGTGTACGTCTAGGACGAGCATGCGAAACATGTTTTATGTCCACCAGCATTCCATTTCTGCGCAATTTTTTGATCAAATTTGTAATACTTTGGTTTGACGGCGCCTCATTACTTCCAAACGCAATTTTCTTGCCGTCTCTGCGATCACAGTCACATTCAAAGTAAGTTTTGAGTATTTCGAAACGTTGATCCAAATTTATTTGGTGCATATTTTGTAATCGGAAGGTTAAAACTAAACCACTATCAACAATTCATGGCGCTTAAGTTGAAAGCTTCATTAATAGCACGTAGTTTAAAATTCAACTTATAGATGGCCCACCCTTTATAAGTAAAACGGATTATAACAAAATAGTTAAAAATTGTGCAATTCTGCGTCATGGTTAATTCGTTAGTTCGTAATAAATAGCTTACCACTGCAAATAGAATTTTTTTGACGTTTACCACTACTGTGGTTAATACTAATAAAGTTATAATTAATGAAATTTGGTAAGAATGAAGGGGCAACGGAAAATTCGGCCATTTAGTGGTTGTCTGTTTACGGCTTTGCATAGTGCGTAGTTTTGTGATATTATTCTGTTTTTATCGTGTTGTGAGTAGGTATGGGAAGGACTGGGATATTGGGGAACTACTCCCCATTTTAACCGGTACGGATCGTAAAGCGCATTTTACCCATAGGTATTATAATATTGATTTTTGGGGGTTAGGTAGGTACCTACATATAACTCGTTTTCTCTCGATGTTTTAAAGTAATACCTACCTAATGCATATGTTGCCGGCAAGGTTTTTACTTCTCACATTCACTAGACAGTGTGCGCAACTAATTTAGAAGGAAAAAAACTACAAACAAAAATTAAATTAACAAACACTTGTTATTTATATATTGGTTGGGTTGGGTTTTTACTGCATAATGTATTCAATTTCTCTAAAAATATTCGTACGATAATTTAAGGATATTTGTACGATAATTTAAGGATCCGCCATGTTTTTTATTATATTTAGTTATTTCATAATTTTTGTAGGTCTTATTTAAGTTTTATTTTTGTGGAAATTCAATAAATAATTTTATTTTAATAAAGAATGTTTTTAATATAATTGTCAGTTATTTACTACCTTACCGTGCTGTTGAGAAAACCTAATTATAGGGGTAAGTGCAATCAATAATACAAATTAAATAATGATTTTGGCTAAGGTTCGCCTTACTGTTATATCCTGTTTTAAAAACTATTTTAAGTAGCTGAAATAATATACTGTGTACCTTATACCAATATGTAGTCGTAAGTTTCAACAGTGTGTAGTAGTAAAAGGTTTTAATAAAACGGTTATTATATAACAACATGTAGTGGTAAAATTTAATTAAAGCAGTAGTGTTAACGATCACTTTGCTGTAATGTCAATTCGTAACAATAACTCATTACCATTCTGTAATGGTAGCAACTAAGATTTAGGTATTTAAAAAACTTGTAATCAACTAACTTCTAGGATAATCTATTTAAACTGAGGAGAATTGAATAAGGTATATGCGTAAACAAAGTTTTAATTAAATTATGTAGTATGTAATGGACATATAAAAGTTACTTTAGTATATATTGTTGTCTAGACACTGTTTGTTAACTTTAATAAAATTAACCTTTTTGAAGTTTATTCATCAAAACAATTAAAACTACAATGAAAAAAAAAGGTGCCCTTAAACTAAAGAAGTCAATTCTCTTGATAAAAAATTATTAGAGGCAATATTTCAGCATAAAAAACTTCTTAGTGGAAGAAGTATAGTTCTCTTATAAACAAAATCTCTTCAATGTTTCTTCTTTCAATCAATTGCAAAAGCTATGAAAATTATTCATATTTACGCAATTCATTCAAGATACATCACAATTATCCCAATAGCATGTCAATTTTACAACAAAATCTGGTAGCTCACGTGTTTACTACGTTTTGTATCATTGCAACTTGCAATTCGCCATTTTCTAGGGGCAGTGATATAATATTATAATTTTATTGTAGGTATTTCTAATATACATTTTGCCGGTTGTGTTGTCTTTTGGCATGTTGTATGTACTTTCACAGTGGACTTGGAATCATTAAAACTCTTTTTAAATAAATGAAATTTAATTAATTTGTTTAATGTTTTTGAAGGTAAGGTATTAATTAAAATATGTAATAATAATAATTTTATGTTAAATCATATTTATGTTACATTATTAGTGTTACTATAGTTTTCAACGATGCCAATATTTGGGCTTGAACTCCCCTTACTACGAAAATCTTTGATTTTAATTGTTAAATGCATCTTTCAATAATTAAAATCAAAAGGCCTGTGTGAGGAGAATTTAAGCTTAAATACTAACAACGCTGGTAGTATCAGTGAAGATCAGAAGCTTTTGAATAAAGCAATACATACTATTGGACCAAGAGATATTTACTCTAAAATCAAAATAAAATGTGGTTAGGTCAATAGTATATGCTTTTGTAGCAAGAAAAATTTTCTTTCCTAAGCTTTTCAATTAAGAGATGCAGTTTTCTTGTTAAAATCACATTTTTTGGGCTAAAAAACGTTTTCTTCATTCAATAGCTCAAATCTTTTGAATTAAAGTATTCATTAGCTATTTAAAAAAGGTGCATTTTTTTACAAAGGACTTAAAAATAATGAGGTTATCTTTCCAGACATCGAAGTAGGTTAAGATACTTACTGTGCTTAAAGATGGAGGAAGCAACAAATTTAAAAATTTTCTATAAACGTGGAAAGAAAATATACTCTCTCCTGCATAAGATTTATGTAAAATGCAAACATCGAGCTGGATGCAAAAATGTCTTGGAGGCAAGCTAATAACGTCCTTACAAAACTCAGGACTGAAATGCGGCGTAGTCATTTTAGAAACCGGAATTTTACCTTAATCATTTCAAACATTCTTAAAAGGCACAAATGTAATCCTTATAGAATTAATTTACTACAATTTTCGCCCGAAAGATAGAATTTATTACCTGGCTGCTATTCATTACCATACAACCAGTTTAATTTAAATCTTGGATGCCATCTACATCTAAATTAAATAATTTTGAAATTAAGCTATACAATAACGCTTTCAACAACTACTTTGAAGTTTTAGGTTCAAAGTTTAAATAGTTATTCTTTATTTTTCAAGTTTTTGAAAGTTATTTTTAACACAACACATCTCCTTAATGTAATATTCAGGTTTGCTTTTACTTTACATCATACGTATTCAAAATAAATTTTAAAAGGGATGAATTTTGAACGGCTATTGTCCGTAAAATATTATTTTAAAGATTAAAATGTAAAAAACGTTTTTGGGCTATATAAAAGCAAAGATAAAAGATTGCCTGGGTAATGTTTGTATTGTTTAAAAACAAACATGAATATTATAAAAAGATACGTTATTATCTGGAATGTTTTTTTACAGTAAACTCAAATTCAACATTATCAAAAATTCACAAATTAAAATCTGTATTCTATTAATAAAAACATAAACTTTACAATAAAAATACAACAATACCTACGATAAATGGACAGTCAAAGGTTAAAGGTCAAAGGTCAAATACAAAAATCAAAGGTCAAAGGTCACTGCATGAAATTAAAATTGAAATTTTAAGATTTGAAATCTGTTGCGAAAAATATTTTTAAAATAAATGTTAATCTTTTGTACATTTTTAAAATAATTCGTATAAATATAGTGCCAAAATTTTATTTCTTCATGTTTAACGCTCTAGGAATAGTTTTAAAAAACTATTCTCTTAGGATCCTACTCAGGGGGCCGTAGCTCCGTTAGGGGGCATTTTTTGATACATGTTTATTTAACAAAAAAGTGTTACTTTTCTATGAAGAATGCACTGTTTAAGTTTGGCCCCCTAATTTCGGGACACCCTGTATACAATATATGTATTTTCAAATGTCAATTTGTTGAATAAATTCATACAATTATGAAACCAAATCCACCAAAATTTTTCTCTGTGTATATAAAATTTTGACATTCTATAAAGACTCTTCAAATGGAGAAAAAGTTTGTTAATCTGAAACGTGACCCTCCAATTAAAAGTGAGAAGAAAGTACGAATAGTAACAAGTTTATTTTCGTGTCTTTATCCCGATAAAGGCAAGTATAAGTTATCTGTTTCATTTGACAACTGTAACAGTTGAACTGTTCCACCATACGTCACGGCAAACGATTTCATCAAATTCAGAAATTCAGAAAATTTTCCTTTTAATTTTAGTCGACAGCCCTTCATTCACTTTTTCTCCAACTTGACTCGAGCAAGGTTATAAAATCAAACCGAAAAGTTTTAACGATATTATAATTAATTTAATTACAATTGGGCCGAACTTGGCTTTTCGTAGATAAATTAAAAGTTTTTGATATGAAGTCAGAAGACGTCAATCTTCCTTGTGAATATCTTTTTTGTTTTGATAAATAACAATGCTATAGCATTATTTTTAAACCTAATGAAAATGTACTTAAATATAAAATTGATTTATATTAAAAGTTATACCAAAAATTAAAAACAAATGAAATAGTCTTTGTTTTTTTTAATGTTTATGATTTTTATTCCAATGGAAACTAAGTTAAAGTACTGTCTTAAAGTGAATACCAATGTTTTCACTGTCTTAAAAAATACTTATTTGCCCAATTATCATTCCCCTTTTTTAATGCGCCCTATATTCAATTTAATAATTGCTAAAATTCAGACAAACGCGCCAGGGCATCCCCTGTCACACCACACATCGGCAACCTGCAATCGCGTACGTGGGTATAGTTTAATGTGATCAACTGATTAATCGGTATTTCTGGTGACGCCGATTGATGTAAGTGTATGGGTTATCTCTGGTGAAGGTAGTGTTTGGTTGTTTCTTATATTTGCTAATTTCTTGGGGGTTGTACTTCCTAATCCAGAATTTTCAAGGTAAGTTGTACATGTTTTTTAATTGTATGTCCGCCATGCATTATCCAGTAATTTTATTACTCAATTATTGAAATGATAACAAAAAGGTAAATGTGTACTCATATAGGTATATAGTACCATGGACACATTAATCTTGATATTCGGTGTCATGCCTTAAAATGGCTGTTTTGTTTATATGGACGAAGTTTGTATTTATTTATAAAAAAACTTCTCATATTCTTTCAGTACCATCATGATATCCTTGCAGGGCGTCCTGAATGTATATATTGCTTTAGGACTTTTAGCAATCTTTAGGATTC